CCCGGAGGCAGCGCTGGAGCGTCGGAGGCTAACAGCTCTGAGACGATGCTGTTCCTCGGGGACAGGGTAGAGACGGGGACCCAGGACCCCCACCCGCCCAGTGGCAGCCCCGAAATTCCCTCCCTCTGGGGCTCTGAGTCAGATGCCAAAAGTGAGGAAGGAAAAAACATCCACCTTCCAGGAGATAAAAAAATAATAACACAGAAAAATAACCTATGACCCTAGCGGGGGCTTATAATTCCTACCAGTTATTAGAGGGCTGTTCAGAAAGATCTGACATCAAAATCTTATCAATTTGGGCCTTCTTTGTAGTTTCATACACCCACAGCCCCAACTGTCACATGCGTTTACTTGAATAATCAGAAAAAGTCATGGGGGACTATGCAGTTGTTTATCCGAAGCCCCGAAACCCCACCACAGGCAGCAAGGACAAGCATCCCGTGAAGGCAGCGCCCACGCTCACCCCGAGGGGCGGGGCAGGCGCCCCAGCTTAAAGCGCAGCTATGCCCCTCTGGGGTCAGGAAGCGTCCCTGGGGGGGGCTCCCCCACAGCGTGGGGAACGCGGGATACGCAGGGAGCAGCCTCCAGACCCCCCGCCAGGCCGCTAGCCCCCTGCTACACCCGTTGCGCCGTCACATGGACCGTCGCCTGGGAGAGCCCTGGACGGGGTTAGCGGGGAGACGGCAAACCCAGCTCACAGCCTGGGGGCCGCGCCGAGGTGCAGGGGCAGCCGGCAGACTGAATTCTCAGGGCGGGAGCGGGCCACGCGGGTCCCCTTGGGCCCGCCCGGCCTGCGTCCTGTCCTCGAGCGAATGCAAGAAAGCCCCTGCAGGAATGAGGAATCGGGGGCTGCGCAGCCACGGCCACCCGCCACTGCCACAGCCTTGTCCCTCCCCTGCTCCACCCCGGCCACTCACGAGGTCGCTTCCAAAGACATCCCCATGTTTTCTGGAAATCGGGGAGACACGGGCAGCCCAGAGGATGGGTTCTGCCTTCCTCGGGATGCGCTCGTGGAGTTGGAAACAATGTATGACGCCGTCTCCGTATTAGCTACTTTGTAACAGGGCGGAGGGAGGAGAAGCTCCAGGTCAGTGACCTCCACGCACCTGAGCGAAATACAATTTCATCTCCTTCCCGAGAAACTCGGTCTTGTGCAGCCGCAGCCGGGCGTCCGCGGCGGACAGGGGGTTGCTGAAGTTGATTCTGACCCGCTTGAAGCTCTTGAAGTACTGGAAGGTGATGTCCTTGTCGTACGTCCTAAAGAGGGATTCAAACTTGGCCTGGAAAACAGAAATAAAAGGAGTTAAAACTTATACCTGCGTCTGACCCTGGGCTAGGGGGCTCCCTGACATTTTTTGCCGCGGCGGCGGATTCTCGCTCCCTCCCAGGACCCCCGTTTCCTGGACAGGACGGAGTCCCCGCCCTTCTCATTTTAACACGGGCGGTTTTGTAGGAAAGGAAGAATGTTTGACGAAATTCATTTAACCGGCGGACAAGCCCCACACTTCTCGCGGTCACAGAAACACTCCTTTTACACTAGAACGGGCGTTGCTAAGAGGTACGCTCGGGTCACCTGTCGCCCCTCTGGCCCGACAGTTCCTACGTCCAATGACCTTCCTCAGCCCAGTGACTCCGGTCCCACCGCTCAGCTCAGGACCCGCCAAATGTCTCTTTATGCAGCTAATGTGAGAAAACCATTTTTACAGAATTGGAAAACAAGTTAATAAGCAGCCTTTCACTTTTTCATGTAAAGGAAGGGAGTTAAATTTTCCCCCACTATGAGTTTCTCACTCAATCTGTTGCTTTTTATTTCTCTAAAGTAATGCTGGTCTAAAAATCAGTGTCCTGCAAAGGGACCCACTTCTGCATCTGGCTTTAATATACATGTCTCGAGTGTGACGGGGCAGGTGGCAATGATGAAACAGCAAGAGCGCGTAGAGCCGAGATGCCGAGTCCAGTGACCGCACGCCTGGGCTTGGGAAAGAGCCGGTCAGCCGCCCGGACAAGCTCTGAGCAGAGCCCCTCTCCAGGCTGGAGGTGTCCCTGAGGGT